CAAGGAAGAACTGGTTGTTGATGTGAAGGTAAGGGGCAGCTTTGGCTGCAGTGGCTGTCAGATGGTGGAGTTTGGCTCAAGGCCCTGAGAGGAGGGAGCAAAGCAAAAAGCAAGATCAGAAGCTTGGGCTTCAGGAGGGAGCAGCCTTTCACCTTTCAGATATCTACTCAAAAGAATCACATGGGATATGGTCCTGAAGAGAAGGAGGGACTCAGGAATGCTGACAGAGTCATGCTTAACCTGCCTTGTAGCCTTCGGTGATAACTGGCTTGGTAGATGAGGGGAGAGGACTGCATGGGTTTTATCTTAACTTTAATAAGGCTTTTGACGCTGTTATAGTGTCATCAGACAAGTACAGACTAGATCGATGTGTGATGGATTTAAAACTGACTCAAATGGTGCGCTCACAGGGTTGTGATGAGAGTCACGAGTGGTGTACCCTAGGGGGTCGGTATTGGGTTGAGTAGTTTAACATCCTCATTAATGACCTAGATGGGGCAGAGTTCGGATACCCTCAGCAAGTTCACAGATGATGCAAAACTGGGATGAATAGCTGATACACCAGATGGTTGCGCTGCAATTCAGAGGGACTTGGACAGGCTGGGCAACTGGACCAAAAGGAATCTTGTGATGGTCAGCAAGGGAATGTGTAAAGTCCTGCACCTCAGGAGGAGTAACACACTGCAGCAGTGTGTGCTGGAGGACAGCCGACTGCAAAGTAGCTTTGCTTGGAAGGACCTGGAGGCCTGGTGGAAAAGGAGATGACCAGGAGCCAAGAATGCATCCGCATAACGAAGAAGGGCAGCATCGTCCTAGGCTGCATTAGGAAGAGTGTTCTCAGCAGTACAAGGGAAGTGGTCCTTCCCGTCTACTCAGCACTGGTGAGGCCACATCCAGAGCACTGTGTATGGTTCTGGGCTCCCCAATACAAGAAAAAAGTGGACTTCCTGAAGAAAGTCCAGCGAAGGGCAGCAGAGATGATTATGGGTCTAGAGCATCTTTCATAGGAAGAGAGGCCGAGAGATCTGGGACTGTTCAGCCTAGAGAAGAGAAGGCTTGAGGGAGTGTTAGGAGGAAATATTTACCAATGTGTATAAATCCCTGATGAGAAGGAATGAGGAAGAGGGAGCCAGACTATTCTCAGCAGTGCCTGCTGACAGGACAAGAGGCAATAGGCACTAATTAAAAATCAGGAAAACCAGCCTGAACACAAACCATTTTTTATAGTGTGAAGGTGGTCTCTTCCAACCTAAATGTTTCTATGGTTCCGTGGAGTGGTTTTTTGCTTGCCCTTTTTTTTTTCATGATAGGACTTAAGTAACAATTGCTCTTTGTTTTCTTAAACCTCACTCTCCTAGAGCTGACATTTCATTTCTGCCTTCTAGAACTTCAGGGCTGTGTTGTGTTACAGTTGGAAACCAAGGCTATCTCTGTTATCCCCGAGGTTGGACTTTTTCCTACATTAATTTCTTAATGTTATCCTGACTTAGGGACTAAAATGAATAATAGTCCTGTTAGAGGCTGTTGGGCAATCCAGGTGAAGCAGTGCTTAGTTATCGGAGTGATTTTAAGCAACATAATTTTGGAGCTGCTTTTCTTTAGCTCTGTAGGTATCTTTGCTTAATGTGCTGATACTGCTACTAGAGCATCTAGGGGCATCTATCTGTGCTCTTCAGGGTTGTGCTGAGCTCTTTATGTGAGTAAACCCTTCAGAATCTGCCTTCAGAATGTTGTTAACTGATAGGATACAGCTTGGAGTTGATTCAAATTTGCATAGAGATGTGAAGTGCCATTTGAACATATATAGCAGCTACTAAACCTAGAGTTCTTCAGGTGAGATAGTTCATATGTAGGTTCACTGCATACCCTCTTTTCCTTTTGTAACTCTGCTCCGGAGATTGCAGCCTGAGAGGAGCTGATGGGTTCTTGGCTAGAAGATTATCTGGTATACTTTTTCCTACTATTGTTATATAGATGTTGTTATTCTCAAATGCCTTGAGCATTTATGACGAGCAACCACTCAAATCTTGGTGTGGAACGTGTATATATGGTTAGCCTAAACATCTTAAAACCACTTTTACAAGTGAAGAGCCATTTTTCTGCTGCTTGGTTTGGTGCTAGGGAACTGATGATCCATGGTTATACATAAAGAATGAGTGAAGTTGTTAAAAAATTCATATCGGAATATGGATATTGACCTTGGTGGATTGATTTTGGCCACTCTTTCACTCCCCCTTCTAAACAAGATGGGGTTAGAATTACGGAAGATAAGGTGGAGAAGTTTGTGGGTCAAGATAAAGACAGGGAGACCGTGTAGCGATTGCCATCACGGGCAAAACAGATTCAACTTGTGAAAAAATAATTTATTGCCAATTAAAAATAGAGTAGTATGGTGAGGAAGAAGGACAAAGCTGGAAAGACCATACCCTCACTCACTCCTTCTTCCTAAAGGCTCAACTTTACTCCTTTATCCCTGAATCTTCTGCATCCTTGCCCCTCCCCAGAGCAGCTCAGGGGGATGGAGATGGTGGGGATTGCAGTCAGTGCATAACGCTTTGTCTCTGCTGCTCCTTCCTCCTCACACTTTTTCCCTGCTTCAGTGGGGAGCGCCTCCCACAGGATACCATCCTTCACAAACCACGCCAACATGGGTCGTCCCCATGGGCTTGAGGAATAGCCTGCTCCAGCATGAGTCCCCAGTGGGCCACCGTTTCTGCCAAAGAACTCAGTCCTGTGGGGGCTTCTTTCCAAGGGCTACAGGTCCAGCCGGGAGCCTGTTCCGGTATGGGTCCTCCACAGGCTGCAGGGGGGCAACCAGCTTTCATTTCCACGGGCTGCAAGGGAATCTCTGGAGCACCTCCTTCACTGACCTTGGTGTCTGCAGAATTGTTTGTCTTGCTTCCTCCCCCTGCTCTGCCCTGTCAGCTATGGAGCATTTTTTACCCTTTCTTATCATAACAGAGGTGCTAAAAACATCAATTATGGGCTCAGCTTTGTCCACCAATGGGTCTGCTGGAGCCAGGTGGAACCATCGGTGTCCAGCACAGGGCAGCTCCCAGCCTCGTCTTGCAGAGCCTACCCCTGCTGCCAGCACCTTGCCATGCGGCCCTAATACACTTGCCTTAGGGAGCCTAATAAGATGCTGCATCTAAGGCAACTGCCCATGGCCTGGAAGTGAAGTTTACTTTGCCTCTGGTTATTTATTTGATGCACAAAAACCAGACATGGAAGAAAATAGATTTGTAATGTCTTTTTTATGATGGTAGTCAGGAGTCTTAGCTCTTAAGAAAGTTTGGCTGCATGTGTAACACATTTGGTTATGGTGCAGTAAGCATTCATCTTTGTATTCTCAGCCCGTGCTGGTATCTGGTGTCCATAAGAAGTTGAAGTCAGAGCTTTGGAAACCAGAAGCTTTCAGCCTGGAATTTGGAGATCAAGATGTAGATTTGGTGAACTGCAGGAACTGTGCCATAATTTCAGACGTGAAAGTGCGTGACTTCTGGGATGGCTTTGAGATAATATCTAGTAAGTAATATCTATGGCTGACTAGTTTAACTGAGCAGTCTGTCTTGCTACCTTCAACTTCTCCTTTTCCACTATTTCCTAAAAAAATTATAAAATAATAATGAAAAAATAATCCAAATAGCTATCAGTCTCATCCAAAGAAGCTATTCCTCCTTAGACATAGTGCACTCTAAAAAATACTTTATTGGTGAAGATTAGGGCAGGGTTGCCCAAGAAAACTTTATCTGTACTACAGTGTGTTGGTGTGTGTTACTTTCATGTATCAAAAAATGATTGGGAAACTACTTTTTTTGACCTTTCCTCGGTGAAATTAACCATCAGTTACCTTTATTAAGACAGTAAGTAATATGACTACTCTTACTCTTCTTCCAACCTTAGCTTTTTTTGTAAAACTAAAGGGAACCTGCAGAGCTGAAACAGACAGAGGCTTTTGATGCTAAAACTCAGACTTGGTGGAATACATCAACTAAGTAAACTTGACGTTGAAAATTACTTTTATAGTAGATCATCTGTGAGTATAAATACAAGTTTATGTATTATGCACAGCAGTGCTGTATGTGCGCCTCGTGATAACCCATTACTTAATAGTTGAGCTCTTTCTTGAGAAAACCATCGGTCAAATGTGGATACGGAAGCTAACCAGTTAAAATTCCTGGGAATATAACTGGTCAGATAAAAGAGCTTCTGAAAAGCAGAGTACTCTATTTTAGATGGGATATACCTAGATCAGAGTGGTCTTATATTTACAGATGTTAGAATTGTAATGGTTTGTTGCAACGTTGCTGGGTTTAGTGTTGTGTATAAACATTTTCTGTATTTATTGCTATGTGCACGTAGCAGAAATGGTGAACTATTGAATAATGGAATGTCTGTTCCCACAGCAAATGAAATGATAGATTTGCAGACAAAAATATTCCATTCCCTAGTTGTTTTCCAGTCAAAGAAGTCCCAACTTTTGTTTTTATATGGTTCCAAGTACAGTGTCTTGTATTTTGTTCTGCTAAATTTCATACTGTTTCTGTTATTACACAGAAATAAATGGCCTAGGATATAAGTGTCATCTTTCTGTGTATTAACAGTAACTGGGAAACTTGACAAACTTTTATCCTAGGGTGACTGAGGAAAACAATAAGTTTATATGGGTCAAGTTACCTTTGAGAAACGTCATTTGTAGTTTGTCTCCAGATAGATATGCTCCTTCAGCAAAATCAGCTGCTGCATTTCTTTTAGACAGTGCTTTTACCATGCTTTATATGAGATGGATCACTTTTGTTAGTTTCTTTTAAATACATTTCATTTAGTGTTTTTCAGCCATGTGCAGTCCCCAATCTAGAAGAGTGTTATTTGTTACTGGTCCAGAGATTTCACGTGCTAACTCATGAAAACTGCAAATTCTATCATGACTCTGACTTCTCTGCATTACATGAAGTACTCGATTTCTCAAATACACGGCGGGTTGTCCCCTGCTGCCACTCGCATTAAGTTATTGAAGAGATGCAAAACAGCCACTGAATTTGGAGCGGGTATTGAGATAATCCCTCAATTATTCTACATGATACTTTAGTTAATTTTAATCTTGTGCTGTTTACTTTTAGTATCTTTGAGTTCTAAGTCAACTTCTGGCAGGTACAGTTTTTTGTTTTGATCCTTCTTAGGCCTGCTTTTTTTTGCTGATCAGATGTTTTCTGGGTTTTGTCCACTTTCATGTTGTTTGTCACATCCGTATATTTTCCTCTGGATAGCTCTTTACTCTGTACTTTTTGAATAGCCTTCTACAAATTTATTCTCCTTGTTTGGAACAAAGATCCTTGATGAATTCAAAACCTTGAACATAGAAAGTTCTGAAGCATCTTTAAATTCAAGTCCTTGAGCTTTTCAGTTCACTTGCCTCTCTAAAATCGTAGCTCATAATAATTTGTTTTCTTCAAAATATGGTTTACCTATCTGCAGTCTTAATTCTTTTCAATTTCAAAAAATATTTTTTTTATATTGCAAAGGCTATCTTCTGTACCCTATTGATATATAATGAAGATGTGATTCACATGTCTCCAAGCCCTAGTTTTTAGATATGCTTTTTCTGTTGGTGCTGTCAGCAGCTCTCCTGCGTCTGGGTAAGATCAGTTGTTTTTCGTTTGGCTGACCTTGGTAAGGTAGGAAGTGGTGAAGGATGTTACTTTCTGGGGAAAAGGGGGATGTGAAAGTACCACGCTGCAGTACAGCCTCTTTTCCAACTGATGGCTGTATGTAGAGTAGCAAAGAATCTGGAAGAAGAGGCAATTTTATTTCTCTCTAAATGTCATGCAGAGTCTTCTAAGCTGCCCCATGTATTGCTTCTCTTGGTCATTGTAACATCCAAGACAAAACAGCAGCTGACATGGTCGGTGCTGTTGTGTTGTACATCCGCTGTTGTGAACATGATGTCAGCTTTCTGTGTTAACGGCTGTCTCTGTTACCAGTCAGGACTCGCATGCAACTCCTGCAATGAAGAGCAAATGTTTGAGTTTGGCAAGCTCCTAATTTGAGTGACTGCAGCAAAGAGGAATTTAAAAAACAAGGCTGTCTTCCTCAGTAGCCACCTGCCGTTTAGCTTTTTTGAGCTTGGTGTACTATGGTTTCTTTACACTTAAGTTGGGGTTGATTTCGGAGCATGAACAAGTAATTTTAATTTTATAAAAGTATCACTCCTCTTGAAAGATAGAACTCCTTTACACTTTGGTAAAAGTAACAAGACAATATTTTGGAAAGGCTTGTTTTAAAGTTGAATAAAAGCTATTCTAAAAGTTAGCAGCTCTACAAGATCTGTCAAACTTCTGCTATAAATTATTATATATGTATAAATATATAATTGTTAAACTGTTGTTTGGTGGTACTATAATAATACTTGGAAGCCCGAAGAAACATCAGGATCCATTTTACTGTCCAGTGCAAGACATCTTGGTATGGCTTAAACAAGACAATGGGCTATACTAAAAAGATACTACATGAAGACATCTTAATTTGTTTCTTGCAGAACGGCTCAGGTCAGATGATGGTCAGCCAATGGTACTAAAATTAAAGGATTGGCCTCCAGGGGAGGACTTTAGAGATATGATGCCTACAAGGTAAGTAAAGCTTACTCTCCGTGTCTACAGGACTGCTGTAGGCAGTACAGGAGGAAAATGTACCCATGTTCTCTTTCTGCTCTCTAGGTTTGAGGACTTGATGGAGAATCTTCCTCTTCCCGAATACACCAAGAGGGACGGCAGACTGAATTTGGCTTCTAGGCTGCCAAGCTACTTTGTCCGTCCTGACTTGGGTCCAAAAATGTACAATGCCTATGGTGAGAATAGTTGTGCAGATGTTGATTTTTTTTGTGACTTAGGACACATGCAAGGCTGTGGCATTAATTAAAACTCCGTGCTTATCCTAGAGCAGGCTGTCATTTTTTTTAATTGGTCCTGTGATCTGTTCCTGTGCTAGGCGCTATGCTGTCTATCAGATGTGTGCTTTTTTAGCTTGTGGTTTATGAGAGATGTACATGTCATAAGTTTGCAAACAATTATTAGTACATGTAATAAGCGTACCTATTCAGGATTCAAGGAGAAGTTACTAGCTTTTTGAAAATAACTGATTTATTTGAGAGGAGAATTAGACAGCTTCTGGGCACTTTGATCTATGTGTTCGTGTTTCCAACCTGGGTTGTAATTTCCTTAATCCATGTCTGACAACACAGACCACAGAGAACATGCAAGACAAAACTGTCACTGTATTCAGCTACCTGAATTTGGATAGTTTTGTCCTCTTAAGACTCTAATGATACAGTAGGTAAATAGCATATAAATGCGGGAAACCTGTGTATGAACACATATCCTGCATGACTGTCAATACACCAGAGTGCGGGGGAACAATTAATTCATATTGTATCCACTTAGAATCACAGAATCATTTAGGTTGGAAAAGACCTTTAAGATCATTGAGTCCAGCCATTAACGCAGCACTACCAGGCCACCACTAACCTGTGTCCCTGAGCACCGCATCTACTCTTAAATATCTCCAGGGGTTATGGCTCCACCACGTCCCTGGGCAGCCTGTTGCAATGCTTGACAACCCTTCTGTGAAATATTTTGTCCGAATGTCCAAGCTAAACCTCCCCTGGCACAACTTGGCACCGTTTCCCCACGTCCTATCACTTCTGAAGAGATTCAGCCCCCTTCCCTACAGCCCCCTTTCAGGGAGTTGTAGAGCGTGGTAAGATCTCCCCTCAGCCTCCTTTTCTCTGGGCTGAACAGCCTCAGTTCCCTCGGTCCCTCATCAGACGGGTGCTCCAGACCCTTGAATTATGTCAGTTCCTGAATGTGCTGCTGTTGAGGTTATGGCCAAAAGCAGGTTTTGAAGACTTAATTTAAAATAAATGATCAGGATACTTTTAAATAACAGATTGATTTTGAAGTACAAATAATGTTTAAAGTACTTGTTCTTTGTATGTACTAAAATATTTCAAGTGATAATAAGGAAAAGGATGCAGCCATATTGCAAAGAAAGTATGTGGAAGCAAACTTACCTTAATGTAGCTTCTGGAGTTCACTTTGAATATTGATGAGACAGAGGTGCAAGGTTTTTTAAGATTCTGCATTCCAGTTATTGATGTACCTACAGTAACAACTCACCTGAGGACCTTAGCTCAGTAACCAAATGTGGATTAGACTTAAGCTTCAACTAACATATTGCAGTTCTGAGAAAGTTGAGGGGGGTAGTTCATTTTTTTTTAGCAGTATGATGTCACAGATAAGAGTAAAAAAACCCACACATTTGTGAACTTAGGCAAATTGAGCCTATTTACTGTTTAACAGTGTTCAGTGTTTTTGCTTTATCTGTTACTCATTGTCTAAGTTCAGTGAAGGAAGGTGTACACCAGAAAACTTAAAGGATCCTAAAATATAACCACTAGTCCTGTGGTCATACTTATCACTAGCTGGTACAAAGATTTTTAATTTTTTTTTTAATATTTTAACTTTTTTTCCCCATGTTACTTCCTAGAGGAGATGGTAAAGCAAAAGTAGAGGGTGGTAAAGCAAAAATAGAGGGAGAGAATGCTGCTGAAGGGTCGGAGGAAGAGAGGTGAATGTCTTATATGAGGTGAAAGAATTAAGCAGCAAGCATTTGAAATTTCTTTCTCAGTAACTCATAGGCACTTGAGAGGTGTAAGAGCATCCAGTGTTTAAAGAGATGAGCACTTGAGAATCTGCAAGTGTTTTCCTTAATTGTAATCAGAATTTTTAATGATGAGTTGGACAGTAACTGCTGTGAGTTTAACTGATCATACGGATTTTACAGCTGAGTATGAGAAAACAACAAACTCCTGAAGGCTTATACCTGGAACCGTCCAGTGACTTGCTGCACACAGAGTGGTACTAATGCCACTTAGAGCAGTCGGGGTTTCTCTGGTACCCCCAAGCAAAGGAAAACTGTGCCAAGGAGTGCCTACTAACTTTACATTATCAAAGCTAAGTTCCCTACTACAGACCATATAAATGATCCTCAGAGAGACAAAATTGTCAAGTACAATAGGCTTTGTTTTTAAAATGCCTGTTTTCTCATGACTTGAATGAATTATATTTGCTACTTCTATTGCCTGTAAAATAAAAATACTAGTTACTGGTAGACTTTTTGCTCATGCCACCTGACATGAAAATAACTGGTTCAGCTGCCTATTGACAATGGTTTCTGCTCTCATTGCTGTGTAAATTAGGATTCTAGAAAGATGTTTTGGGCTGGTTATTTCTAGAACAGCTTAAATAGAATTTGATATTATTTTACACTCTATTATAGGCTTAATTACTGCAGAGGACAGACGAGTTGGTACCACAAACCTGCATTTGGATGTGTCTGATGCTGTTAATGTCATGGTGTACGTTGGGATTCCCGTTGGAGAGGGGACCCATGATGATGGTAATGTTTGAGGAAAGCTATTTTCTGTCTATCAAAAAATCAGTTGTGTGTGAGAAAGACGACTGTACCTTTCATTGTTTAAGCTTGTCATAGCTATGATATACAACCCAAATATACAAGGCAGTTTGCTACATATCTATCTGTGGCACATATTTAGAAGTGCAGCAATTGCTTCCCTACTGCAGAAACGGCAGAGTTTTGTTATAAATTAGGTATCTCCCTGAAGAAAGGAGAGGAAAGGGTGATAAAGTTACTCTTTCTTCTTCTTGTATTTGAATTTGTGACTGAGATTGGTGACCAGCTGTCGATTGGCACATTCCTTGAATTTGATAAGGCGAAGCTTGATGTGCTTAGAAAGGATGCTGTGTCATGGAACAGTTGCAGTAGCAGTGTGGCTGGATTTAGCAGCTCCAAATGCTTCTTCCTCTTCTGTATATTAAAAATGAGAAGCTTTGTAAACATACAGCTTTCATGTGGATTCCCCTTTCAGAGGTTCTGAAAACAATTGATGAGGGAGATGCTGATGATGTAACAAAGCAGCGGATTCATGAAGGGAGAGAGAAGCCTGGAGCATTGTGGCACATCTATGCTGCCAAGGATGCTGAAAAGATACGGGAACTTCTCCGGAAGGTATGTTGGTTTCAAAGAAGGCTTCTTTGACTAGCTTGCTTACAGCAACTGACCAATATAAATTTGCTATCAACATTAAGTGTACAGGTATTCTAACACTGTCTTTGAGGACATTAATAGATATTATGTACCCAGGTTTTCAGCCTAGTGTAGAATTTCCATACTAATGCACATGTCAGTAGTTAAGACCTAAATGAGCTTAATGAAGGTAATATGCTACCGTGAAATGGTTTGTTTGTTATGTTTTTTGGTACAGAGCTTTTTGTGAGCCAGCAATATCAAGGTGCTGTGTCATGGTTTTCCCCCCCACCCCATATCTTGGCCCTAGGTTGGAGAAGAACAAGGCCAAGAAAATCCCCCAGATCATGACCCCATTCATGACCAAAGTTGGTACTTGGACCAGATCTTACGCAAGCGACTCTACGATGAGTACGGTGTACAAGGCTGGGCGATAGTGCAGTTCCTTGGAGATGCTGTGTTCATTCCTGCAGGTGCTCCCCATCAAGTAAGTATGCCCAGCTCTCTTGACAGATAGAATTGAATTTGAGGCACAACACAACTGCAACTTCAAAATACTCCTAGCTAATATTGCCGACTTGGGTTCCTTTTTCTACATGCAGTTCTTACGGGGAACTATTGGAATTGGATCTTAGTCATTATGTTAGTCAAAATTATATAAATACCTGAATGATGTGTACCAGTACTGTGATGGAATTAAGAAAATAAAATAGGGCCAGTAGTAGGAAAGCATTTCCATGTAGTGAAACTTAGCCATGGGAACAGAATTACAAAAAAATGCGGAGAACAGTAGAGAACTTGTTTTAGGGAACACTAGTGTATGTGGGAGAACTGGCAACATGTGAGATGTTAGTTATTTTGTTCACTTTTTACCATTAGATACAATTCTCTGTGAGATAAAATATGCTTCAATTCCTGTTTCTGAGAAGTAAATCTGATAAGAACCTAACATATGTGGTGGGAGGGCTTTGGGGGGGTTTTGTATGGTTCGTTCTATCTTGATGTATCTGTTGCTTGATACGGGGCTTTTTGTAGGTCCATAATTTATACAGCTGCATTAAAGTGGCAGAAGATTTTGTATCTCCAGAACATGTGAAGCACTGCTTCCGTCTGACCCAGGAGTTCAGGCACCTGTCTAATACTCATACAAACCATGAGGATAAACTGCAGGTAACCATTTTACGGTAGCAGTCACTAAATAAATATATCTTGTGTTTTGCTAGCTTTGCTTTGTACTAGAAACATGTGGCTAGTGATTTAAGAAAAAAATAACGACTTTGCGTAACTTTGGATGTTCTCATTTGATAAGCATTTAAAAAAATTATTAATGCATCTGTGTTTACAGTGTTATGTAAACAAAAATCATTAATAAACTTTTGGATTTCCAGAGAACTTTCCTATTACTGGACTAGTGCATGTGATGGTATTGGTAAGGTTTTAAATTACTGAATCCTGAATGACGGTAAAGAGTAGCAGGGAAAAAAAAGCTACTAAAAAGGAAAAAGCAGTGCTTTGTTTTGAAGAGATATGTTTATTTGACTAAGGATGATACATGTATTCGTTTCTTTACTGCCTAAATGAAAATTGCTCTGGAAGTGAAGGCTTGCTTATTTAAATCAGTGTCCTGGCTCCAGCGACTGCCTGGGCTGACAACAAAAACCACGCAGTCATTCCCGTGTTGCCTGATCCAGTCGAGAGGTGGCGTCCCTGGCGACAGGGAGGCTGGATTAAAATGATCTCTAAGGTCCCTTCCAGCTTAGGCCATTCTATGATTCTGTGATTCCCTCACTCCTTCCCCCGATCTGCACAGGGATGTTGAGGGAGAAAACTTGGACTAAAAAGGTTTAAGGATTGAGATTAAGGACAGGGAGGCTAATAATCTGCCATTTAAGATGATGGGTAAAACCCAGAGTGAGCTTGGGGAGAAAAATATAAATTTTATTTACCACCACCATTTATGGAATAGGATAGCGAGATAAATACATACACTTCCTCCCAACCCCTCCCATCTTCCCAGCTCCCTCCTGCCCCCGATCAGTGCCGGGGGGGTGGGGGTGCATCCGCCTGGCCATTACCCGTTGTCCAGGGAAATCCTTCCTTCTTGAGAATGAGAGCTCCTTGCAGTCTTCCCCTGATGCCACATGGTGTCCACCTCACAGGAAGCAACCCTCTTCCTCTTCATGAATCCATCCCAGCCAGGGTCCCAGGTTGCTTCGGGCATGTCTTCCGCTCCTGCGCGGTCTCTCTCTCTCCCCCTGGCCCAGGGTTCTCCATGTGCTGCCGCATCCTGGACGTTCTCGCTGCCGTCCATCCCCTCAGCTCTCAGGCAACCCTCTCCTGCCATCTCACTCGCCACAGGGCTCCAGGGAAACACTGTTCCAGCCCCTTTCTCCCCTGCTTCCTCACTGACCGCGTTCCTTCGCTTTCCTCTTACCTCCCCTTCTTCCAAAAGAAAATCACACCAACATAAAAGACAGGACAGATCAAGACGAGATGAGACGAAACCAAAAGAGAAAGAAAGAGCAAGAGGAACTAGAACAATAGGGTCGTCTCTTAAACACCTTGATCGCAGAGGCACTGACTGGCCTGGAGAGGCGGGGGGGGGGGGCACTCCCCCCCCCGTGATTCACACGAGCCTGGGGGTTTCACAAGAGACATCCCCCACAGCTCTACCCCCACCTCCAAAAACCCCGCCAGACTCAAATCCTTGACAGCTGGGGACGTGATTTAGTGGTGGACTTGGCAGTGCTAGGTTTATCACTGAACTTGATCTTAAAGGTCTTTTCCAACCTAAATGATGCTATGATTCTAAATTAGTCCCAAGCAGGAAAACTAAATGTGTTTTCGTTTGAGAATATGACTGCTTAAACTAATAATTACGCATAGAACACACTGTGCACTGTAGTAAGTATATTGTGTATAAGACAGCAAGTTGTGCAGAGGAGGGACCATAGAGACCTTGTTTGACCTATGTATGCTTCTGAAGAGTTAGTATCTGTTTAGTTTGCAAATTTTGTTGTCAGCATTTTTTTATGTATTACTAATGTCGTGCATATAAAGTGAAGGAGAAAAAATAGCAATTGCTGGCAAAGTGGAACTGTTACTGCGAAAAGGAATGCTGGTTGTATTTGTGCCTCACAGCCAAACTATACTGGTTTTCTTTGTCATTTTTCATGTATTTTTTAAATAAAAATCTGCCTCTGTGTATATATATGTATTTATATATTAAAAAAATACACAGACAATAACTTTCACATAAATATGAAAGACTGAGATCATATGTACGTCAGGAAAGAAGGGTGATGTTTGGTAGTTAGTTGAGCAAGTGAAGTTAAACTACTCAGGTGAAATTGTTCTGTTCAGTACCTAGAAACTGAACTCAAACATAGAAAAATGAGATAAAAGATAGCTGTTTAACAATCAAGGACCTAAGTGTGGAACCGATTGCTGTAACCATGGATTTTTCATCTCTGATCATGCTTGCCTTTCTGGAAGACGCACAAATAGCCTCCTTACAACGACAACAGGATGGTTTGGTGCATCATCTTAATTTACACAGGGATAAACCATATTATTTTCTTGCTCCTTTTGGGTTTGATTCATGTGAATCTGAGTGACTTGGATCACAAGGACTTTTTCAAAATATGCATGACTTCATAGTGTACTTTCTCCTAGCTCTCAGGAAAGAGAGACTTTCTTTTAATAACATGAGTAAACATCTGTTGCTGAGTGACCAGATAATAAATAAGTGCAGGTGTCTAAAATATTTGTTGTCTAACCATGACAGTAAAAATTGGTGGTGTTGATATCCTGAAGCAGTGACAGTACATACTTTGTCTGTACTTGCCAACTATTAGGAATTCAGCTGTCAAAGCTGATTGTATAGGTATGTCAGACTTTCCATGTTAGTCTGTAGAAGTTGATTATTTATTTTTTTCCTGTTACAGGTGAAGAACATTATCTACCATGCAGTGAAAGACGCTGTTGGCACACTGAAAGCTCATGAATCCAAACTAGCTAGATCGTAGGAACTGCTAATTCCAAAAGCCCTGCGAAGGAAGCCTTTTGCTCACAGTACATACAGGGACTGCACATGACTGCCTCTGCAGGAGCAGCGGCTTCTCTCTAAGAGCTGGTGTGGTCAGTATTACACACACTCTTCAGCCACCGTTTTCTGTGCTGCCTCAACACTGAAGGTCTAACGGAAGGTTGCACTGTTACATGCGGAATTTCAGATTCTAGTGAAAGGTGCCATGTCCCTTTCCTGTGGCCTTTTGCGAATTGGAAGAACGTGGAAACCACTTGGTGTTCCTGCATATTGTGATTAGAAATGGTATAAAGAGTGTGGATGGGTTTTTTCCTCATGCCTCGTTAGTCTCCACAGGTTAGAAGGAATGTGCTGGAGGTGGGTTGTCCTACTGCAGATTTATCTGCTGTAGGAGTGTGGCCAAGAGTAGCCGAACTGCAGAAATTTAAGCAAACTTCCCATGAAAGATACAGGCCAAGGAAAAAAAAAGCTATTCTCTGCACTCCCCTTCCTGTAGCCGTTTCTCTATACACTGTAGAGTTGCAGAAATAAAGGGAGAACCCACTTTTTTTCCCCAGGAGACTCCAGAAATAGGAGGATTGTGTATTTAGTGAAAAACTAGGTTTGTAGTGAAACAGTTAATATTTCATGAAAGTAGATATTTTTAGTATTTTTGAAGTACCACAACTGTTCCTGGATTTTGGAGGAAAGGCGCATTACATTTAGTCTTCCTTTCAATAAAATCAAGAACTGATTTTTAGAACGCAGTCCAAAATAGCACAAAAACAGCCAAAGGAGAGCGAATAGAAGTTGACACCCCACCTCCCTTGTCCATATTCCTCACCCATCTTCCTCCCTCTCCCTACGCCACCTGCTTCCTCAGAATGAGAAGTAGAAAGGAGTATAAACTCTGTTCTCACGTGGAGATGTTGTACATCTCCCTGCACTGGTGACTGCAGGCAATAGTTCACCCAATGCCAGTGCTAGCTGAAAACATCTATCCTTTCCAAAGTGAAGGAAAAGTTATCTTTCAGTGTCAATTTTGTCCAGAACTATTTTAAGTAAAATGTTTCTGCTTGATAGAATTGTATTCAGAATTTACTAATGTCAGCATTGATGCAATGGATTTCTTTTTCCGGGGGTACATGGGGAAATGTATCTACCTTATATCCAGCTGTACTGTAGTGCCACCTGCAGGCCTGTTAATATGTTCACGGTTATTTCATTTTTTAAAAAATAAAAGTCATTTACTGTAACATCCTGGGTGGTCTCTTTTGGACTTGTAAACTGATCTTCCTGCTGGGCGTTTGTCTCAGCTTCTGCCTCTGGTAGCACAGGCCCCCTGTTAATTTCTTGCCCTGTGTCTGACCGTACGGCTTGGGTGTTTTAGGCCAGGTGTCCCAAATGCCTGCTGGGAGCATACCAAGCTACCTGCCGATTCTTGATTCTCAGAGATAGTTTAGTTCAGAGGATCTGTCGTGTCATAAACAACATCTGTTGTGCTGTTCCCTACCTCTCGGAGCTGCCCTCTCCACTGGAGATATAGACGGGGCAGTACGGGGTCTCCCGTTTCCGACCTTGAAGGTGATGATGGCAGCAGCAGTTCTGTCGACTGACGTGGCATGTGGGCAGCTTCTCAGCGTGGTTACTGGGTGCAGGCAGTTCACTTCTGGCTTCTGCTGCCTCTGTACCCCTGCAGCTATCCTGCGAATATGGGCTAATCCAGTCCACTGCTGATGAAGAGGAATATCCCAGACCCCTAGAGTCATTCGACTTCACCATGTTCCTGTTGTGCTGAATTGCCTGCGCATTTCTGTTGTACTCTGTGCCTACAACCCACCTGAAATGGTTAATTAAAGTTGTTTCCCTCATTTGTGTGTGTGTATACTGGCAATTAGAATGAGATAAAGATCAAAAAGCCGAAGACTTGGCTAAGTGTAATTCAGTAGCTTTGGTCATGTCTCATGCAGTGATCTACACCGAGTTCTGCATCTCCTGCTG